GGTCATATCTGCCTCTTCAGCCTAAATTGGTCACCTGCTCTATCCTTGCCATGCTGCCAGACCCTTCCTAACCACTACTGAGGAGTCCCAACCAATTCAGATCCACCAGCGAGTTCTCAGGCGGTGGCCCAGCCGTAGGAACGAGTCTTGAAACTCATCCGGCCCTCCTCCGGGGCCTTCAAACTTCAAAGGAATCTGGGATCTATTTGGAGCCAATCATGGAAGCTGAGGTTGTAGTCCTCCTTGTGAAAGGACTCTCCTATTTAAGTTCCCTCCCCCGGCCAATCCACACTGAGCCATGGATCCCCCCCTTTCTTCCCCCAGCACTGCATTGCCAAATTTGGGGATTTCGTTCAAGATGTCCTTTTTTCTGTGTGAAAAATTGCAGTTTTTCCTGGGTGTGTTTCCACTGGGCTAGCAATTCTGACTGAATAAACTGACGGCCTGTTTCTGGGAACTACCCCCTCTCAACTCGGACCTCTCCCCATTACATGCAGTGCCACGCAGAGTGACGCAGTGCTTCCACCAAAGACCCCACAAAACTGCCTTGAAGTTCTTTCCAAAGACCCCACAAAACTGCCTTGAAGTTCTTTCCTAACGAGAAGAGAGTCTCTGCGAAAGAGGCAGGCCGAGCCGGCTGCCAGTCTCCTAGGAGAAGCCCCCTCCACTCCCAGGGCCAGTCACATCTGTTTCCCAGCTGCCTCTGGACCCCTTCCCAGTGTTCCCACTAGAGCACGCAAGGGCCGAACCTGGGCATTGCAAGAAAATGTGTGGTATGGTCTCTTGCATCCTGAGACTGGGAAATCCGAGCCCGCATGGCAAATTTTGCACCACGGGAGCGCAAGACGTTTTTGTTCCAGGTTTGAATTGTCCATCAGCCAGTCGTTGATGGGTAGGCAGCGGTAAATGATCTGCCATTGCAGAGAAGCAAACTTGGGTCGGGCAGATTTGTCGTGGGACTCGTAGCGGCAGTCTGGAATGTGCAAAAAAAAAGCAAAAATTCCGAAAAATAGCCTTTTTTTTTTTCTTTTTTTTTTTTTTGTGGTTTTTGAAGTCTGGCCCTCCGCACTCCACTGCCCATGCCTGTAGTTATGTGGAGTCACGTCACATGGCCGCAAGAGCGAATACATATCTGCCGCTGCTCTTTTTCCCTTTTTGTGGCTATCCGTAACAGTTACTCAGTCTGGTGAAGTGTGTGTGTGACCACATCATTATACACGACTTTCAGAAGTTCAGCCATCCACATGAGTGGCATTTGATAGCTAGGTTTTGTCTTTTTACAGGCTCCAGATTGCTCACAAGTTTACTCAAGCTACTACAGGATTTGTGTTCTGATGAATCTAGCACATGTATGACTTGTGGCTTTCTTATTAAACCACCAGTACTTGGCCCAGCTTTCGGCTGGGGGCGATTCTCGTTAACGCGCCCGGTAGTTGCGCGCTTCGGGGCACCGAACCACAATGGCAGGAAGCGCCAGCCCGAACCACAATGGCAGGAAGCACCAGCCAAAATGCGCCAACCAAAATGAAAACGAAACGGTACCCCGGCGGCTCTGCAAAACTTGGCACACAGGGGGTATCCCGGCTCGGCATCAATAGCTGGGCCAAGTACTGGTGCTTTAAGTTATAAGCCCCTCTGAGCTGTGTTCGTGAGCAGTGGGCTTCATGAGTTAGTAGTTTACTCAAGTTTCCTTAAAAAGAAGTTATTGAACTGTTCTCTGTATTTCTTGGCCGAACACGGGTAATGGCCCCCGTATTGAACAAAAAAAGAAAGAAAGAAAAGGGGGGGGGATATGACGAAAACAAAAAACAGTTGTTCCCTGACACAATCAGATTGTCAAGATTTTCAACTTACAAAATTACAAATCCAGAAAGAATACGCCACAGAAGAACTTTGACAGCCGCCCTTTCGAACCGTGTACCCCGCCTTCACAGCACTGTAACAGTTTCGTTTTTTCCCCCCAACAAAAACAACTTTATATTGAGGAAACTGCTCCCGAGTCACACTTTAAGTTTGAAATAGGCAGGAGAAAAACACTGCGTTGCAACTTTGAAATCTGAGGAGTTCAAAAAGGCAAAAAAGACTGGACATGGCAGCCCGGCAAAAAAGACTGGACATGGCAGCCCCACCAGGGCTGTAGTTCGTTAGACTCGGTTAGAGGCAAAAACAGCAGAAAAAGCGGGTACCACACACCGACCTTTGTCGACCTACTTACCTGGACCTTTGTAGACAACCAGGACCTGTGGACAGAGTAGCACCTATACAGGCCAGGTCCCATTGGCAGCATAGAGTTTCCTCAATGCCCGTATCTGGACTTGATTGTGGAGATGTGGTGTTGAGGAAATATATAGCCATTTCTGCACATCTCCACCAACACGTCCGGATTCGGGCGTTAAGAAAACTCAACACTGCTGGTGGGCCCATGTGGAGCCCACGTAGAGAGGGCAGGCTAATGTGAAACCGTGCCCGAATTTGTCGCGTGCGGACTTAGACACACACACACACACACACACACACANGAGAGAGAGAGAGAGAGAGAGAGAGAGAGAGAGAGAGAGAGAGAGAGAGAGAGAGAGAGAGAGAGAGAGAGAGAGAGAGAGAGAGAGAGAGCAGGGCAACCCTCATTTTGCCTGTATCGGACCCGGGTGCGTTATCGCCGGTAGCTGGAGCTGCTGGGAAGGAGAAAGGAAGGAACCACAGGCACAGAACTACACCCCCCCCCCTGGCCGCCCACACGGAGCACCAGCCTCCAGGCGATGGTCGGGAACAAAGAACACCAGCAAGTTGGACTTTGCCGAAGATGAGCCCGTGCCTACGTCCGCATCTACAGATCGACCGAGGTGTGTGTGTGTGTGTGTGTGTGTGTGTGTGTGTGTGTGTGCGCGTGTGTGTGTGTGTGTGTGTGTGTGTGTGTGTGTGAGAGAGAGAGAGAGAGAGACAGAGAGAGAGCGCGCAGCAGCACCAGCAGCAGGAGAAGCCCGGCACTGAGTTGCCGGAGCTCTAGTGGAGGCGGGAACAGGTTGGCCTCGAAAGAAGTTTGAGGTAGGCGGATCGGCGGACCAAGCGAGAGGACTCAGCAGCAAGGAGGAGGGCCTGGAGGGGCAGGCCTTAACATTATTGCATTTATCTCTTTCCATGAGGAATCTGCGTAACAGTGACATGTATATACCATTGAGCCACATGGACTCGGTGTGAGGAGGTTTCGGGTGAGAAAAAGAGAGGAAATTTCTTTGGCAAGTTCGCACGGCAGGGAGGGGGGGGGGGGGGGGGGGGGGGGGGGGGGGGGGGTGTACACACACAGACCTGATAGGTCGGTGAAAGTCGGACGAAATAGTCTAGCACAGTCGCTGTCAGTCTGCCCTCTTTTGTGGAGATGCGTATAGCGGACATGACAACACACAGACACAGGGTTGGTGTGAGTAAAGTCGAGCACTTTTCTCAGGACTATGGATAACTCTGGGCGACGTGGTGAGTCCCTATCCATCAGTCAAATGCATCCTGGGCAGGCTGTCGGAGTTCAACGTCCTGATAAGTCGGTGAAAGTCCGGTGAAAGAGTCTGCTGAGTCTGGCACAGTCATAATTCTTTTCGTGGAGTTATGTATAGCGCACATGACAACAGACACACACACACACACACACACACACACACACACNTGTGTGTGTGAGAGAGAGAGAGAGAGAGAGAGAGAGAGAGAGAGAGAGAGAGAGAGAGAGAGAGAGAGAGAGAGAGAGAGAGAGAGAGAGCAGCAGCAGCAGCGGCAGCAGCACCAGCAGCAGGAGAAGCCCGGCACTGAGTTGCAGGAGCTCTAGTGGAGGCGGGAACAGGTTGGCCTTGAAAGAAGTTTGAGGTAGGCGGATCGGCCGACCAAGCGAGAGGAGACAGCAGCAAGGAGGAGGGGCAGGCCTTGGCATAATTGCATTTATCTCCTTCCATGAGGAATCTTCGTAACAGTGACATGTGTATACCATTGAGCCACATGGACTCGGTGTAAGGAGGTTTCGGGTGAGAAAAAGAAGCACAGTCGGGCCTCTTTTCTGGAGATGCGTATAGCGGACATCACAACACACAGACACAGGGTTGATGTGAGTAAAGTAGAACACTTTTCTCAGGACTATGGATAACTCTGGGCGACGTGGTGAGTCCCTATCCATCAGTCAAATGCATCCTGGGCAGGCTGTCGGAGTTCAAAGTCCTGATAAGTCGGTGAAAGTCCGGCCGAACAGTGTGTGGAGTTATGTATGGCGCACATGACAACAGACACGCACACACACGAACACAGAGAGAGAGAGAGAGAGAGAGAGAGAGAGAGAGAGAGAGAGAGAGAGAGAGAGAGAGAGAGAGAGAGGGGGGGAGGGAGAGAGGTTTCACACTAGCGAGAGAAAACATAGCCAAAAAAGTAGGAGCCAACTTCCTGCCTTGTAGAGAACAAACCAGACAATCAACTTACCCCCTTCCCCCCCCCTCCTCTCTCTCTCTCTCTCTCTCTCTCTCTCTCTCTCTCTCTCTCTCTCTCTCTCTCTCTCTCTCTCACGAGCACGCACACACACACACACACACACACACACACACACACACACACACACACGTTCACCCGAGCTCGCACGGCCGCCTGCTTACATTTCCACTGGATCGTCCCCACTCGCGAGATAAACAATACCATAGCCGTATACTAGGCGAAGTTCAAGGGCCGGGAAAATTTGAGTTATCACGGCTGGTTGTTTCGCGAAAGTCAGCAAATAATGTACTGAGCGTTAGGATATGCAAAGGAACGAAGACCGATTCACGAAGCCAGAAAAAAGAGGGGAAAAAAAAAGACTTCGTTCAAAGCAGACGAAGGTGGGGGGAAATAAAAACAAAACAAAAACGAATGGCAGGTAAACGTAACTAATCAGTCCCTTCCCTGTGACGGCAGATTACGGAGAAGAGACGTTAATGGCAACGACTCTACGCTATTCGGTAAACTCTCTTGACTGAATGCATTTGCCTCGTCATACTAGCTCTATCTTAAGTGCACCTGACCGGATTTATGGCCCCATTGGCCCGACCTGGATGCATGTGACCGCAATTACGTGCTTAAATACGTAAGAAAGTCCTAGTGCGAGTATGCTCTTAGCTGGAGAAGTTGTTTGTGAATGTGGATCTCGCTATGTTGCACACAGACCCGCTGCAAGCCACTGCTCCCCCATGAATACCGTCCTGCTTGTTCGTCTTCTCCTTAATGGAGTTATCCGTCGTCCCTCCACTGCCACTGCCACTGCCACTACCAGTCTCCTGGCCTGCGCCGGGCTCGGCCCCCCCTTGCCCACCACCCGCGATTTGACCCCACTGGCCCCATTGCCCCCGCTGCCCCTCCTGCCCCCCCTGCGTCCCCTGATCCACCTGGCCCCCTTCCTTGCCAGGTTGTCCGCTCGTGGATGCCTTGCCGTTGATGCTCTCCAAGCCCTCCGTCACATCAATGTCAGAGCCGGAGATGATTCTGACACCATTACGATCGAACGTGCAGTTGGTCATTGAGAAATCGACGTCGTTGAGGCTAATGGCGCCCCCTCTGCCGTTCGTCGCCCGGTTGCCCCGGAACACGCACTGATCGATCCACACGTACGTTCCCCCGTAGGCGTAGACTGCAGCTCCACCCTCCATAGTGGACGTCTTGAAGTTGGTGAATGCCAAGCTCTGGAGCGTCAGGTTTGCGCTGGTCACGATCCCGCTGAAACTGCCTCGCCCATCGAGGATTGGCAAACGGTCCGCCGTCTGCTTCACTCCGACGATCGTCAAAGTGCGGGACAGCAGCGGCAAGTCGTCGGTCAGATAGACGTCGCCGCTCACTTTGATTTGGGACACCTGCGGGTCCGTGTATTGCCTCAGGAAGTCGGTGGCGGCATCGCCATTCGCCGAAAGAAGAGGTGCAAGCCACGTTCCACACAACAACAAAGCCATCATCAGATACCTCTCCACTACCGCGGTCGACGTGCAACCCGTCATCGCGAAGGAAATACACCACCAGGCAGTCAGTCCTCTTCAGTGTCTTCACAGAACTTAGCCGGAAGCTGCCAACTTCGAGCTGTATTCACGGCACAGAGTGAGAACACCAGAGACAGACACCTCCGCACCAAGTGTGCTTTGCTGTCGCGGCACAGAGTGAGAACAGCAGAGAGAGACACTTCCGCACCAAGTGTGCTTGCTGTCGCGGCACAGAGTAAAAACAGCAGAGAGAGACACCTCCGCACCTAGTGTGATTGGCACTGATTGCTGCCCTTTATGCTCGAACCTCAGACGAGGAGAAAGGACGTGAGCGGTCAAGAACACTCACCTTCATCTTTGACGGAAGAGAGAGAGAGAGAGAGAGAGAGAGAGAGAGAGAGAGAGAGAGAGAGAGAGAGAGAGGGCGTGAGTGTTACGAAAGAGTGAGGAGGTAGACGGACGGCGTAGGTGGGAGGTGGGGGGAATGCAGGCGCTGTTGTAGTTGTCTCTGCCACCGTCCCTTTCGATTCCGGTCCTTTTACGGAGAATGTAAGAGCTATTCAAAAAATTGTTGTTAAATACTGGGCTGTCCGTGGCGAAGTCCCAACTCCCACAGTCCCACTTGCCCAGGTTCTTCTCTCTTCCTTTTTTTAATTACGAAAATGGTTCTTTGAAGCAAAACGACTTCTGCTGAAGGCCTAGTGTTGGAGACGATAAGATCGTCTTGATCGTCTTGACCATAAGCTGGAAATGCATGAAAAAGAAAGAAACTTTTTCTTGGTTTTCTTCTTTTTCTCATCTTTTTATGAGGCAACTGCCTTGTGGAACATTGTGTAACTGACTGGCCCCAGACATCTCTGAGTCATTCATCAGCCTGAGGTACATCTAGATTTGAACTCGGGTGTGTATTACAACAGTTTATGGGTGTACCTGCTGAGGTATGCCCATTGGTTAAAGGAATTTGACTATCCAATGATTCAATCTGGGGCATTTGACTATCCAATCAGGGGCCACTGAAGTCCTAAGACTCCTAAGTAGTAAATACCTTCCAACAAATATGGATTGACCCCAAATAAAAAAGGGCCCAAATGCCAAAGGTCGTAATAATCAGTGATACTTCACGGCCCACTGATTTCGGGAAGATGCTGCAACTTCACTGCATCGCAGGGAGTCAGGCGCAAAAACAGAATTGGACAACCAACTGGCCTAGCTCAGTTGATACACCCCTGAACTGTGGAAGAACAAAATTGAAGGGAAAATTGCATCTGTACCCCTCTTACCCAGTCCCAGAGCCAATTTGCATCTATACCCGGAGCCCGCTGAACTTTGCATAGTACCCTAATTTTCCCCTGCGCAAAATTGTGGCCATGCCCAGTCTCGCAGGGACCGCGAAATTATGCTCATGCCCAGAAACCTGGCTGACTCATGCCCAGAAAATCGGGCTGGCAAAATTGTGCCAGTGGGTGTACCACGAAATTATGTTTATGCCCCACCAAGTGGACCTTTGTGGCCCAATGGCTGCTGGGTATGAGCTTAAGGATGCATCTGTATTACAGAAAGGACGAGCCAATTGATTGTCAGATAGCAAATTGAGTATATAATATGCAGCTGGATTAGAGAAAGTCTGGGGTAATTGATTGCCAACCAATGGCAACCATCAGGACGCACATGATGGTGATCGCTGACAAAAACCCGCCCAGCATTGTCTGAAATATGGCCTTCATTGCGATAATGAACTGGTGCAATACCAGAGGGGGTGTGCCCAATATGCAGTCCACATTTTCGGTTCTGGAGTTTTGGATAATGGACTGGTTATTGGGAAATCAAGTAGTCTGCCTCTGACCAGACTATTGTACAATTCCGGGGACATTGGGCCTCGCTGCACTACACAACACTGTACATGCATTTGGACGCTTTACGGACCAGGGGCATTCGGACGATTGCATGTACAATGTTGGTGTAGTGGAGCGAGACCCATTTTCAGCTTTGGAGTTCTAACAAAACTGCATACGTAATGAGCTCACAGCGGGATGACTGGATGATAAGAAGGGCATGGAGCCGGCCAATATCAGTTTTTTCTGCTGCGGTTGGGGTTAAGCCTGGCCTGAGAGCCCAGCTCATCCCCTCTTCCTTTTTCTTAGAAATAAAAATAAAATAAAACTGCATCTTTTTTCCTATCTCTTTTCCAGGAAATCGCATAGTCTGTTCCTGACCAGAATATTGGACAATTTCGGTAATGGACAAGAGGGAGGACATCCACAACCTCCTTCCCAAGAGTGGTGACTAGAACAAGTACACCCATTTTCGGTAATGGACAAGAGGGAGGAATCGCATAGTCTGCTAAAAAAATAAAAATAAAAATACGGGGATGTAGAGCACAAAAACATCTACACCCATTTTTTTATTTTTTATTTGATTATTTTTTGCCTGCAAAAAAAAAAATTGTGGGCCACGCGGTGTAGCGCGGCGTTGTAACGGTACTAACGGGGGTTCAACGGCTGTTGAACCTTTCAACGGGAAACCCCCGTTGAATAAAAAATAAGACACATAGCATCCAACTGTTTTACCTTTAGCTCGAGACGCAGCTTTTGCAGACCTTTCTTACGAATATAGTTGCGTGTTGACCCACTGTCAATCATACCACCTACTCTTACTTTATTGACCTCTAAATCTGCGATAATTAGTTGTTCTTTACTTTTCTTCATTTCGGTCCGGGCTTTGCGACGAGTGGCCAACTCATCACCTATGCCAGTGAGGGATCCACCTAGAGAGGTACACACACTAACTACCTCTGGACAGCTAACTAGGTGGGGACCGTCTACCTCTTCAGTTTCTTCCACTGGAACCTTCGGATGGGAGGCAAGTCGGGATGTGGTGGATATGGTTTGTCCCAGTTTCCATACCACATGCCTCTTCCTCTCCCCATGTGGAGTTGGGTCCTCGGCCACCTTGCGAGGGACCATTGCCCCTTCCTCCCACGCAGTAACTTCCTTCGCCACCACCCTTCTGGGTGTCGGGTCCTCTTCCTCCACGACCACGGCCTCCTCTTCCTCTGCCACGGCCTCTTCTTTGTCGCCCTCCCCCGCGGGCTGCAACGGTCGCGCAGTCCCCCTCCTCAACTACCGATCCGTTATGTGCATCTCCCACCAGATCATAGTCTATCTGGTCGTAGGAGAGAGTTTCGACACCTCCTTCAAAGGTCAGAAGGAGGTTGCCTTTCCCAATAATACTTCCTGAGATGGTATGGTTTTGCCATTTCTTGCCGGCCTGCAGATCTTTTCCAATAATGGTAGTAGTTTGCCTCTGCCAAGAAGCCAGCATGATTTAACGCGATCTTGCTGAACTTCTCATAGGTCATCCCCTCTTCTTTGGTACGGGGATATAGTTGAGAACGAAGAGGATCGAGTAGTGCTCTACCAAAGTTGTTAAGAATCTGCGTCGGGGTGAGTCCATGTTCAGCGCATTGCAGAAGTTCGTCCATGGTAGATTTGAGTGCGGATGCACTTTTCCATTTCCTATCTCCGATATTCAGGATTAACATCTCAGTGCTCCGGGCTAAGTTCTTATCTTCAAATTTTTCTCAGATTTCTTTAAAGAAATCTTCAATACGGGTTTGTTGGAAATATTCTACCATAGACTGACAATATGCCTCTTTCTGTAGGGAAATTGCAAAACTCATTGCATCCCCGGCCATGCACGAACTGGCCATGAGAACCCTGTCCCAATACGGTATACGCTACCCATACACATAGGACTCGACCGCAGAAATCCAATGCAAAACACTCTCTTTTTTTTTGTCTGTGTAAGTCCACGACACTTTCACTTTAATCTTCCTTACTTCTCGTGCTTCTTCTTGCTGCACTCCCTTCTTCTTCTTCTCTCTATCTTCACCATCTCCATCTCAGTCTCCTCCATCTCCTCCGCCGCCACCTAATACTTTCCTGGCTACGGCGGAATTGGCCAACGTTTTGCTTATCTGCTCATCCAATTTTTCTACACAGGCTATTATATGTTTATTTACTTCTTGTGCAGATCTCTGCAGGAAGGAGTTTCAAACACCTTCGAATTCAAACTGGTGACGTTCAATCTTTTGTACTTGCTTTGACAATGCTGCGAGTTGTTTGTTAGTGTGGAGGAGGGTATCAGTGAGGAGGGCAAGTCGTTCATCAGTGGCAACCTGTTGCTCCTTCTGTTCATGCAGTTGTCTCTGAAACCTCTCCCCCTCTTCTTTCAATCTTTTCTTTTCTTCAAATTCCTGCCTTTTTGCAGCCACCATTCTATTATTTAACTCCGCTTTCTTCTCTTGTAGCAGAATCTCTTTTTCCGCAGGATCTGATGTAATGTGTTGTTGTGGCCAATTTTGTGATTAAGACGTCCCTTTCTTCCTCTGATTCAACAAACATCTCAATCTTATCCCCGAACTGTTTCAACCAGTCCATGGCTTCTAGCTCCAATCTGATGCCTTCTGTCCCACAAGACTCTGAGACTCCTCTTTCTGTTCAGCGTCTCTGCAGTCCTTCGTCGGTTTCTTCTTCTTCTTCTTCTTCTCTTCCTGCAGTATTTTTTCCAACTTTGCTTTTGCTTCTCTTTTTATTTTTTCTTCCTCCTCTTCTGCTTTCTTCCTCAGTTCTTCTTCCTTTTGTTTTTTTTTCGTTTTTTTCTCTTTTTAGCTTTCTGTTAGGCGGCGCTGTACTTCGACCTGCTCTGACGTAGAGAGCCCTGACTTCACTGTTCCTGACCGCATCATCATATGAAAGGAGCACACCCTCCCGAAGCCAAGGGGGAAGAAGAACCTGAAGAGTGGCCCTAACAGAACTGAGAGGGCCACCATCTTATACATGGGATAGTCATCCATGGTGGGTGTCAGCGCAACGATGGTCTCCGCTAGCCCATCAAGTAGCTACCCAAACCCTCGTCTTACTACAGAGTGGATGGTTTTTTTTTTTTAAGTCTGGATGTCGCTGCTTCAAAATAACAAATTTTCAATAATACAAATAATGTGCAACTTTTCCTAATCAATTGCAAAGTTCGAACTTTTTTCTCTTTCTTTTGTTTGCTTGTTGTCTGTCTTTCACTTCACTGTCAA